TAATTCTAAGCAAAGGCACATGCTCAAAATTATCGTTATTCTTCGCCTACCGTTTTACGTTGCACGAGAGAACCATAACTTCTTTACTTCTCTTGAATACTCAGATAAATCTAATATTTATCAAATCGCGGTGTTTAGACCATGGAAAGTTATACAAGAAATTTTAACTATAAGGGCTTATTCTAGCGAAGCAGTTTTGACACGCGAGTCAAGTGAATCATGGCTGATTTCCACTCTGTTTGCCCGCGTTCGGGATTGCCAAATTGCACCTAAGTTGAAAATGGCTTCCATCGTCTTTCTGAGGAATTGACAGATATTTCAAGGAAAAAACTGCATGGCATTCATATACTTATTAAAGGCTATCTATATGGAAAAGACGAGTGAATTTAATTTTTTTCAGCTTTGCCGAAGATTTGCGATTTTGTTTGATTCGTACACGGATCTGCTCTTAAAGTTAATGGCAGTACTACTCCATTATATGTTTGACTGATAAATGAAAATTAAATAATCATCATTTTGTGGCTCTGACAGGCTCCCTGCCCTGCCAGTTCATGTCGCAATCGAAAACGTGAAAAGTAATTTTTACTTCCAGAAAAAGGTTCAGAAATGAAACGTAACAACTTAATGGAAAGAAAGATTGGCGTCAGATCCATGACCACATTTCATCGTCTTGGCATTAAAATCAAACAGCATCCAACATCCAACAGGTGACCGTGATTAATCTACTCCTCAGTGACTTCTAATTTTGGAAAAATTTCGGTCGATAAAACAGGTTAATTCAATGCCGCTACCGACTGCACTGAAGGAATCGATTGTTTATTATAGCATTGAGAGAGAGCTTTCATGGTAAATTGAAATAACATGGTTTTTTATTGTTGATTTTGATCATATCGTTCTTGCGGAGTGATTTTTTTTTTTTTTTTAATTCTTCGCATTGAGCAAGGTCATTAACATGTGTACGCGGCTGGTCTCTTGAAATCAACTTCGGTTAGATGGTTTTAAGGTGCATTACCCCGCCTCAGGTGTCTTATTCGGCTGAGGGTGATAGATTTCTATGCAGCTATATGTCGTAGTAGGTCGATTGACTATTATAATTCTGGAAGCCTTTTTTCTAAAAAAGTCATGTCGCAGCATTATCAAAAAGGCTAGCCGGATTCATTGCATTCCGTCGCAATGGTTTATTGAAAAATACTGTTCACTTTTTGCTTCAAATCCTTCTCTTCACCAAGATGAGAAAGAACAAAAGAGGTTATCCTTTCTTGGATATAACGATGTGTTTTTGTGAAATCTAGCGCAGGCTCATTTAATCACGAGGTTTACGTATATCGCTGCTTAACAAGGCCAACTTCTCCAAACTTTTTCTCTTATCGAGATCTGTTAACACATCTGTCTATAACAGAAATTGCTTTGTCTACTTTTTTTTTAAAGCAATAAGTTGAAAACTGTTCTTAATTGGAATGGTTATCCGGCCCCTTCCAAGTATTCCTCGGATACTAGAAAAAATACACATACATTTACGTCCCCCCTTCCCTTGACGCGTTTTCTGTGTTCCTCGCCAGAAATGAAAGAACCACAAATAATGGTGACTAGATGTTCAAGCTTGTTTGTATAAAAACTGGAGCACTTAGTATCTGCGTATTCTTCTAAGGTGTGTTCTGCTATTAATGATATAACATTTTTCTCGCTAAAGCTTGCTATTAGTTGTAGCATGTTTTCAGAGAATTATCGGCCGTTGCCGCTCAAGCAACAATGCCTACAGTGTTTATTCAATCACGTTTCTGCATAATTCTTCGGTCGGGTGATAATCTGTGAGACACAATAAATTCATTTCACTTAATTCTCTGCATATGTATGTGTACATTTTCAACTCTGCTTTTTGAAATAATTTCTAGGTTGATATTCGTAGGGCTGATCGATTGCTGAAATAGATTTGAAAAACACTCCTTTTACACTCAGGCTCAGTTTTACCTGGGTGAATAATTCAATTTTATACACGTATGTTAAAATAACATGTTAATCATAGAACTCAGCCTGAGGACATACACAGCAAAGTACTTGCTAGTGAAGCATTTGTATCAGGTTAAGGAATCATTGAGGTATCAGAAATATTAGCAGATGGGAAGTAGGCATCTGCATTGAAAAATCGCAGAAAGTAAACTTTGTTGTAGCGCAGATTAACACGGCTATTTCCAGTTTGCAGAATCAGATAGTATGCAAATTAACTATGAAGTATCGGATTAATTTGGCGGGTATGAAATAATACCCAGGTATACGTGGCAAGCAAGCTGGCTGGGCAATGATAACACGTAACAGAATCGCAACCAAATAGAAAAAAACTGGTTTTGAATAGAATAAATCTGTTAGTGTTCTGTGAAAAATGCTGCAGTCTGATCCACTGCAGCAAGGTGAGAAAAATATTTTGGGAGCCACGGTTTCAGATAAAACTGTTCTCACCTTACCTTATACGTTTTAAATTTTTCACAACTTCG